TTAAAATACATTTTCATTGAATTAATGACTTCTAAAAAGAAATTGTTGTAAATGAATGTTTGAAAAGTTGTTATAATGTGCAATAATGAGGTCTGACAGGTTTAACAACAGTAGGCACCAATTCTTATAGTAAAATCAGTCATTGTAATACGAGGTTTTTGAATAAGCAGCAATGTAGTTTGCTAGGTGAAATAATGACAAATTATATAAAAAAACACACAAAGTGAACCAGTGTTTTTATCTAGAGACTATTTATTGTTCTTCCTTTTCAGCGTTGACAAAATTTTTTAACGTAACGAAACGTCAGCTTGGCTATTACATAATTAAAAGCTTTTCACCACTCAAATAGTTTGAATTTTTCCTCAACACGTCGTATAAACAATTTCAACAAAATGCAGAACCACATCACCCACTCTATCTGCTGCTTTAAAATGCATTTTATAATTAATTACAAACAGAGTGGTAAACGCCATCTGTAGTACGGAATTAGATCCACTAAAGGTAGCAATTTACTACAGATAGATATCACTGCTGCATTTATTTATGCTGTGACTTGACCACCATGAACTTTTGTCCTGGATGGTGACGTGCCTACCACGTAAGGTTAGGATAAGTCTATATCCTTATGGACCTTGCTAAACATTTTTGAATTCCATTAAAGGTAGCAAAATGCCCTAAAGATGACGTTTACCACGCTATTTCTAGTAATTCACTGTTTCACTAATTTAGGACAAAATCACTAACATATATAATACACCTACATGCAAGCTGCTTTACTTGAAGTTATTTAATCTTAATTATTACTAGTAGAAGTAGAATTATATTAACATGATTGTTTTTATCAGGTGTTGTCAGCATCACGATTGGTGTTATTCGGCAGCTGATTGTCCAATGTGGTCTGAATATTTTATCCCTTATTATTGGATTTGTCACCGCAATGAACCGCTATGTGGTACGATTATTGCTATAACTGTAGAAATATTAAATCGTAAGCACGAATTTGCGTTTACACTCAGACGTAGCTACTCCAAATTTAGCTTAAGTTGAGTGTGCTGTAGTTGGGATGATCAAAATTGGCATAATTCGCAGTAAAACTGTCTCATTTACTTTCTTCTTTCTACTTACTAATTAGACCAGAGTTATTTCTGAAAGAACGCCTACATTTACTCACGATAGACGTTGTAGGTAGGGAATATCGTAAACATAGAAAAGAGATGTCAGGTATGAATTGCAGCGGACACTAATAAAGAAAATTAATGTGTAACAGAAAGAGATACACACAAGCAAAATATGAGAATGTTGCCAGCATTTTTAAAGGGCTTTAAAGACAGTTGTACAGAATATCATAAGCACAGAAAAGAGATGTCAGGTAGGAATTGCAGCGGACACTAATAAAGAAAAATGAATAACATTAGTAATATTTCAATAATTTTACGATGTGTCGTAATTTCCTTCAAATATCATGCTTGTATTTAACTAAAGTCTACAATATGTCTAAATCCAAACAAAAATGGCAATTCTTGGCTTGAAAATTACTTATGAACAAAGAAAATAAGAATTTTTGTCTTATTTGGATATTTTGAAGTCGGCAACGCCACAAACTTAACATTGATTTCGCGTATTATATATTTTTCAATGAATATGTAATTGTTGCTCTGTAAATCGAAGCATTCAATTCAATTGGAATATTAAAAATGGCTGTCATTCAAATACGCTTTATAGATAGATGACAGGTACGTCTCCACGCGTTGAGATTTCAATACAATTCTATTTTTTAATTCTTACGTCATATTTCGGTTTACAAAAAGACGATATTACGGTACAGGTGCAGTGTAAAATTCGTGTGTACCAATTTATCATTTCTTACCAAAAAAGAGATAAAAAAAAGAATTCGTCGACTGGAGAAATCTGGTAGTATTTCCAGACACTTAGTTGATCTTTCAAAAATTTTATAACAATTGTCACAGAATATCAATATTTTGGAATAATACGAAAGATTTTTAAAAAGGACTTTAATTAAATACAGCAAACATTTATATCAATACTGTTGACAATAGATTAAATTAAATTTCGTTCGTCACTATAAAAATACAACAATATGAACAGGGTTCCGTCCAGAATAATTTCTCCAGGAGCAAAGCTCGGTTCTAGCGCCCCTCTTCCCCTTGTGTTCAATACAATGACATAATATATCAATATTGCAAGTCTTTTCGGCGTCCCTTGACTTTGGCGGGCAAAATAACCAAGGAAAAACAACAAAAACCGTTGAAAGAAGTCTTTGACTAACTTTGTTGAGACTAGAAAACACATAGGTATAGAAAAGAGCTATCGGAATAAGGAATTAAGTTAATGGATTTTATTAAAATTCGGTTTATGGATAGAATTAACAAGCTCTAAACAAGAATCTTCAACAATATTTTTTAAAAAATAAACATTAATTTAAAAGTTACAGAAAAACTGAAAAGGTCGATTTCATGCAAAATATGCATTTTTTAATGGGTACCTACGGTAAATTGCATTGTTTTAGCGTAAAATAGATATCTATATCAAAAATATTGGGGTGATATTCCTAGTAATAAAGTAGATGCTTTTTAGATGATTGCATAACCACCCGCTACTAATTTCTCCAAGACTCTACCTCAGTTCTGCCTTGCAGAAACGGTCACACTACCTTGGATAACTTGGCGATTTTCTGAATTTCGTCCGTCTCATCTTGTCGCCACAATTCCAATATCACAATTCCTAAAAAGACGCTGAAGATGACGACGACTTTTCGCCCTGGCCTCCTACGTAGTAAAGAGGGAATGTACGCCCATATTTTGTGGTTTCCTTAGACCGCTCAGGCAAATGCTGGCGAAGTAATATTCCACAGATAATGTTCTGACTTTTTCTATCTTAATTTCATCGGTCTCATACTGCCCGGCAACCAACATTAGTAGCTGGTCCATGTTTTTTTTTGTGGTTTCCTTAGAATGCAGCCGTCTCATCTATCTCACTTCAACTACCACTCACCCATTCCAACAATTCCTCGAAGAATGCTGAAGAGGACCTTCCGTTCTGACTTCCGGCGTAGTATGGAGGAACTGTCCGGCCACCAGTATTAATAGCTGGTCCAAGGTTTTCTGTGGTTTCCTTAGATCACCTAAGCAAATGCTGGTGCAGTAATATTCCATAGACAGTGTTCTGCTTTTTCTCACGTCTGTCTCATCTTTTTCACCTCCAGTCATTTCCCGCGTACTTCCACGATTACTAAAAGAACCTTTCGCCTTGCTCTCGGGAGTGCTAAGGAGGGACAACCCATCCACCAGCATTAGCAGCTGATGTAAGGCTTTTGTGGTTTCTTTAGATCTCTTAAGAAAATGCTAGTACATTAGTATTTCAGAAATAATGTGCTCTGTTCTGTTTTAATTTCGTACGTCTACATTCCCTACTTTTTCTTCCCTTGCATACCAGTATTTTAGTTTTTCTTTTATTTATTTTCATACAGTACCTACTGATCTGTCACTACCGTTTCCATTTTATTTAAAGCTATCTCTAGGTTCTCCTTGCTACATCATCTGCAAATCTAAGCATACTAATTTTTTGCCCCTGTATATCTATCCCTACAGTAGTACTACTGTCTTTAATGATGTTGATCGTGTCTTCGATGTATAGATTAAAAAGTAGCGGTGACAGTGTGCATCCCTGCCTGACTCCCTTCCTAATATTTACTTCTCTACATTGCATCCCTAATTCTAACTCATTTTTTTTGAAAAAATTCTTCCAAACTCTCCATTGGAATGGTTAATTCTATCAGTAAACCGAATTACAATAAAATGTCGTATGAATTATAAAAAAGAGTCTCTTGCAGCTATACATCATGGTGAATGGGGTGGGCCCACGTCTTGTGCGTATAAACTTTGCGAATGTGATAGGAAGTTTGCTATGTGTCTGAGTAGATATCTTTGTCCTTCATCAAGAGCCCTTTGCACGTCATCGCCATTAAGGCTCCTGCAAAACATCTTATGATATCGCGTAATAAACTTTATAAATAAATTATTTATAACTATAAACGTTTGTATGAAATATTATTTTGCCATCCGTGTAATTTAACAAGATTCATTTGATGTGATGTACTTACGATATGACAGTAAAAATGTAATTTTATTTAATTGTTTATTATATCGTAACAATAAATTATGTTTGTAGGCAATACAATGTAATAAAAATGGCCAATGTTACGTTAATAGTGGATAACTTGGCAAATGATTGAGTTAAGTGCCCTATAGAATCGTCTATTGTGAGATATTTTATTTCCTTTTTTAATTTTTTGATCCAATTAACCAGCAATAAAAGGTTACCATAATCACCTAGAGTGGTTTGTGTTTACCGCAAGAAGAAACAAGCGAATCACCACTAACAATCGAAAGAAAAGAAGTGTACTCGGCAAAATTTCGTAATTTTATGAAATTTCGCCATTGAAGTAACATTCACACTTTTGGCCCCGAAGTGAATGCCGACAAACAGTGCCAAATTTTATGTCATACAGTAATGGCGTTCTTTTACCTTTTTTTGGTACAGAATTGTAAAAGCATGTTAATTTGTCCGAAGTACAAAGAAGAATAAAACATAACCAATTTATTTTTAATATAATTTAAATATTTCACGAAAATTTACTCTTATACCATTCAACAAACCGCAATGTATCGGCCACAGCTTCTCTTTCTTCTTCGCTTCGTGGGATGATTCTTTTTCTTTCATTTGGGGTATAGTTAGGATTAACTTTTTTATAAAATTTAGTGAGTGCTCGTATTTCTTCTTTAGTAACCAGCGGTTTTCGGATTGAGGAAGTATATTTTCTGACTGAAGGTGAAAATTGAGAATTAAATCCGGAAAGTTTCTTGTTTATCACCGAGGATCTTTTATACATGTCAAATATGCTAATTTGGTCATTTTTGTATGGGAAAATTTCACTTCCATTTTCGGATTTTACTGATACAAAGTCATCTTCTTCAGTATCTTCCGTTTCTTCGAATGGGAAATGTTCTTCACACGATTCATCAATGATTTCGACATTGTCGCTATTTTGTATATCATCAGTTAAACTTTCTACGTTATCATTATATCTCGTTATGTCATTACTTTCACTGTCGTCGCTAGTTTCTGTTACGCTCAATTTTACTTCGCTTTCATTAAAGTCAACGTCTGTTATCTCTTTTATGTTGTGAAAAGTATCATTTTCATCGTTGAGGGGCAGAAAAATTCCTTCAATCCCACTGGTGCCTTGTACGGCATTACCCGTGATGGAATGAGATACACTTTCTTGAATCCATGAAATAACTGGAGAAAATAATGTAATAAATGGCATTTCACTGAAATTTTCTTTGACATTTGAAACGAAAGTGTCACTCTAAATACAACTGGAAGAGTGGAAAATGCAGAATTTTCATTGAATGTTCTTAATGATGAGATTTTTAGGGCCCATTGCCGAATGTGGTACAAAACAAAATCCTTAAGATGAAATTTAAGGGTTCAATTAGATTTTCTCAAGAATTATACGCATTATTATTGTCATAATTAGTTATAAAGCTTATACCTTTGTGAATAATTTATTTTTAATTTTTCGTCGTGGTTTAATGGATCGTATTATTTTTTACAATATTTGTCAATTAGACTGCATAATTGTTTTTTTTCTGTAATAGCTTTCTTTTCTAGAATTAATAGGCAGTTACAATAAGAATTTTGTAGCTTAAATTTATAACACCCTGTATCTGGTTTTTCTCGATCATAGAAGGCTGACTGCTTTTCTTTGTATCTATGACGTTCATTGTTAGGAGTTGGGAAGGATTTGAAATTTGTAAATAGTCGTTTTTTCATATTTTTCAAAAATCTAATTCGAGATAAGGTAACAAGCAATAAAATAAAAATATTATTAATCAGCGACAGTGTTATTAGTGTACATATAGCTTGGTTTGTTGTTGTTCGTTGAATAGTACAATACTTAACCTAGTATAATAAAAAAGTGTTTATTCAGCATAATTCTAAGATATGGCAGAAGAAAATGAAACAAAGTAAGTTTACAAACTAATTTCTGAAATGTTTCCTTATTAATTTTGTTTTGTAGGTCCGATAATTCAACTTCCACCGCAAAAACAAGTGAATGCTTTCAAGCAAATAAGCCGGAAATAGAAAATGATTTGTTAGTATCAAATAAAACAAATGAAGATGATAAAACTGACAAAAAATACGAAACAAACAGCAATTGCTATTGGTGTGTATTATTTAAAGTATTTTTTAAGATAATTTTTAACCAATAATATGATTGAGGTTATGTACATAGTTTGTAAGCATAATTTTTGTTTTTAATGACTAAAAACAACAACGTTTATCATATTGCAGTGGAAAAGAACGTAATTTAAATATAGTGGAACTTCTTTGTGCAAACTGCAGTCGGTGGTTTCATGAATCTTGCATTGGTTATCAGCTTGGAAAGTTAGTGCCATTTCTAGCAAATTATGTGTTTTTGTGTAAAAATTGTTCACCAACAGGCCTAGAAAGCTTTAGGAAAAGCCAAGCACGTGAGTACATTACAAATAGTTTTCACATTAATAAATATTTTGCTATCGAAATGGTTCTCCGTTATGTTATAGAAATACCTCAAATGTGTGTTACTGCACTAGCAAATCTTCAACAACAGAGTGTTAAAGAAGGGACTAATAGAACGCTATTCAGTAAAGACAGAGAAATAATCCCATACATTGAGTATCATTGGGAAGCTCTAACAACAACTGCAAGGAGAGTAACTCAATCATGGCATTCCACCGTGCATAGAGCTCTTATAAAGGACATACACATTCTTTTTGTTTTTGAAGAAAGTGGTCAGATGGGTCAAATGTATGGTTTACTATGTCAAGATTTAACGCAAATAAAGCCAAATTATGAGGCTATGATTAAAGGTGGAACATTGAGGATCACTGATGTGGGAATACAACATGGTACGTGTAGTTCTCTAACTATTAGAGTAATATTTTTACGTTTTTACGTTTTTCTGTAAAAATTGCTTTTAAATAATCTTTAAATAAAGTCTAAAGTATGAATTAATTTGAAAAGTTAATCCACNATTAAATACCTAATAAAGAATTAAAATAAATCTTTGTATTATGACAATTTTTAGCGACAAAGAATAAATTCTTTTTTGTTTGGAAAACATTAGCACAATTCAAAATTGTTTTACTTATAGCATCTTAAAACCTAAAGTGTGTTTTGTTATGGTTGAGTACTTCATCATGTAAAAGTCTTTGAAGCGTAAGTCGTATGGGTGTGTAAATTCAGAATGTAACATTTTAGTTTTAAGCATTAATTAATATTATTTTAACTGGTTACATAACTGATCATTACATTTCTGTTACATAAGAAAGTAGGTGTTTCAAGTTATAGAAACTTATTTTTACATTAATAAGGTAGGTATAGCTAGGTAAATTTACATATTCCGATAACGAAATATCTACGCTCTGAGTGGCTCAGACAATTTATAATTGATAAAGTAATTAACATTTTTAAAAACAGAACCTTCCTATAAATTAAAAAATTATACGTTCTTTACTTTTCTGTGTAATAATCAATTTTTCATTTTAGTTCTGATGTAGGGGAAAATGGGTAATATAAAAATTTTCTTTAAAAATCGCGCACTGTAGCAGTCTTTAGAACATCTTGTATGCCTTTAATAATAATAGAAGAGACATTTTTAATTAACTTGTTTTTCATCCGCGGGTATCGCAAACTGTTGTATTGCCGTAAATTAACTCTGTTGTCAAAAGTTTTTTCTTATCAAATAATTAAGTTTTTGAAAAGAATATCTTGTTTACAACTGTCAATATTACAAAGTTTGTTTGAACATCTTCGATACTTTTTTGGGGAACAGCTTCAAATTAAAAGAGAAAATTGATATAACGGCGAACTTATTCAGAAAGTGGCACTGCACAATATATAATAAACCTCATAATAATAAATGTTTTCCTTTTGTAACTGATGCTTAACATTCTTTATTGTATTGCGAGGAGTAGTTACTTTTATTGCAGTTGAATGTAAGAAACAATAAACAAATGCTTACGGTATCTACATAAGGCTTGGAGTAATCATTAAATTTACAAATTATTTCCATAATTGATGGCTCAGGAAGTAATAGATGATCTCCTTTTTTAACATTTGCTATTTGAGTGTTTGCTATTGTTTAGTTACTAATATTGTTTCACCTGTACTCGATCTTGATGAAAATTTATTTCTTTTTCCTAAATTTAATAAATATGTTAAATTACAGTTGTCACTGATTAGTTTCTGTGACGCAGTTTTGGAAAATTGTCGTTCAAGATGCTAAAAAAATATTTTTACGTACTGACTTATATGAATATATGCATAAGTTCATACATCTATTTATATTAAATGTGTGTTTCATTCATGTTCAAGTAAAATGAGAACTAACAATAAGAGATATACCATTGTTTCTCGCCTGGTTACGACTGTTTTTCATCTATTTGTCATTCTTGCATTGAGGTCTCTCGCAGACCATGACATTCATTATCTAAATGACTTCCTAGGGGATTTTTTCGAAAACAACACCAGTCTCAGTGGGCTGTCGGGTATATGAGCTGCTGGACCTCAACACCTTTCAAAATTTGCATAGATTAAATTCATGACTAAAAGCAAATGCAGAAAATGAATCTCTTGGGCTAAAAATATATATTTTATAATTCACTGCTTATTTTTACTTGGATCATCATCTTTTTAGTTGGAGACGCACTTCCATTTTCCCTATCCTGAGCTAATCTTCGTTATTCCTTAAACTGGAATATTCTAAATCCTTAACTATTTGTAAACAGTAGTCTAATAATCTAGGTCCACCTCTACTCCTCTTAACTACTACTTCTGATGCAATATTAGTCAATTTTGATGCTCCAGGCGAGAATACAACCCATCACTACTCATAGACACCTCTTATAATTATTTCTGCAATAGTCTAAAATAGTCCGATTCGAAAGACAGTGTATAGAGTGATTTTTCCTCTTTTAAAATTTTTAAATTAAAATCTATTTGACAAGCAAGATTCGACAGCAAGACCCATCCGATACAAAATGATGAAGAGGGAAATACCAATCAAAATTATTGATACTGATTTTTAGATTCTTTCTGGATGTATTTGTACCTACAGTTGTCATATATTTGTGGGCATTAGTGTATAAAGTTTTTGTTGTTTCAGATGCTACAAAATACGGTAACAGTAGTAATCCTTCTACAATACAAAAAGTTTTACTAACGCTAGTTGTCGTTGAAAAACCTCGTTTGCAAAATTTCAATGTGTATCTTGCAAGAACTGGCAAACCATTTGAGCCATCTCAAATTGCATCGCCACAACCTTAGTAAGTCAGTACCTACAATAAAATTGAACTTTTATTTGTAAGAACATAAGTAGCAAATGGTGGATGTCCACGACATGCATAAAAGAAAAAAGATTCTTTTGTATGATATATGGTTTTGCTGAACCATTTCATACAATAGAAACCTTCCTAAAGGGATAAAGGGTCTCCTGCGAGTAATTATATAATTTTTTGTTTAAATGACAACAAGTCCGCCTAATGAAATTTTTCTCTTCAGTGGATATGTTAATTAATTTTTCAATTTTTTAAATGTAGGGTGGTGTAAAAAATTTCTATTCTCAGTATAATTTTCACTTACAGTAATGCTTCTGAAATGATACTCAAATTTGAAAAATCCAAAAGTGAAATTCTGAATGATTTAAACATTTCAAATCAGAACGATACCCGTCCAAAGCGAAGTGTATTTGGCTTGTTCAACATGATCAGTTGTGCGACGGGATGCAACCCCTTAACTTATAAAAAATACGGGTGTTACTGTGGATTTCTAGGCTCTGGAATTGCTGTTGATGGAATAGATAAGTAAGCAAACTAAACAGTATGTCTATTGGCACAGGTGATTAATTTATGGGGGAATAAAACATTTTGTGTTATCATCATCTTCCTTTTCAGCGTTGACAAAATTTTTTAACGTAACGAAACGTCAGCTTGGCTATTACATAATTAAAAGCTTTTCACCACTCAAATAGTTTGAATTTTTCCTCAACACGTCGTATAAACAATTTCAACAAAATGCAGAACCACATCACCCACTCTATCTGCTGCTTTAAAATGCATTTTATAATTAATTACAAACAGAGTGGTAAACGCCATCTGTAGTACGGAATTAGATCCACTAAAGGTAGCAATTTACTACAGATAGATATCACTGCTGCATTTATTTATGCTGTGACTTGACCACCATGAACTTTTGTCCTGGATGGTGACGTGCCTACCACGTAAGGTTAGGATAAGTCTATATCCTTATGGACCTTGCTAAACATTTTTGAATTCCATTAAAGGTAGCAAAATGCCCTAAAGATGACGTTTACCACGCTATTTCTAGTAATTCACTGTTTCACTAATTTAGGACAAAATCACTAACATATATAATACACCTACATGCAAGCTGCTTTACTTGAAGTTATTTAATCTTAATTATTACTAGTAGAAGTAGAATTATATTAACATGATTGTTTTTATCAGGTGTTGTCAGCATCACGATTGGTGTTATTCGGCAGCTGATTGTCCAATGTGGTCTGAATATTTTATCCCTTATTATTGGATTTGTCACCGCAATGAACCGCTATGTGGTACGATTATTGCTATAACTGTAGAAATATTAAATCGTAAGCACGAATTTGCGTTTACACTCAGACGTAGCTACTCCAAATTTAGCTTAAGTTGAGTGTGCTGTAGTTGGGATGATCAAAATTGGCATAATTCGCAGTAAAACTGTCTCATTTACTTTCTTCTTTCTACTTACTAATTAGACCAGAGTTATTTCTGAAAGAACGCCTACATTTACTCACGATAGACGTTGTAGGTAGGGAATATCGTAAACATAGAAAAGAGATGTCAGGTATGAATTGCAGCGGACACTAATAAAGAAAATTAATGTGTAACAGAAAGAGATACACACAAGCAAAATATGAGAATGTTGCCAGCATTTTTAAAGGGCTTTAAAGACAGTTGTACAGAATATCATAAGCACAGAAAAGAGATGTCAGGTAGGAATTGCAGCGGACACTAATAAAGAAAAATGAATAACATTAGTAATATTTCAATAATTTTACGATGTGTCGTAATTTCCTTCAAATATCATGCTTGTATTTAACTAAAGTCTACAATATGTCTAAATCCAAACAAAAATGGCAATTCTTGGCTTGAAAATTACTTATGAACAAAGAAAATAAGAATTTTTGTCTTATTTGGATATTTTGAAGTCGGCAACGCCACAAACTTAACATTGATTTCGCGTATTATATATTTTTCAATGAATATGTAATTGTTGCTCTGTAAATCGAAGCATTCAATTCAATTGGAATATTAAAAATGGCTGTCATTCAAATACGCTTTATAGATAGATGACAGGTACGTCTCCACGCGTTGAGATTTCAATACAATTCTATTTTTTAATTCTTACGTCATATTTCGGTTTACAAAAAGACGATATTACGGTACAGGTGCAGTGTAAAATTCGTGTGTACCAATTTATCATTTCTTACCAAAAAAGAGATAAAAAAAAGAATTCGTCGACTGGAGAAATCTGGTAGTATTTCCAGACACTTAGTTGATCTTTCAAAAATTTTATAACAATTGTCACAGAATATCAATATTTTGGAATAATACGAAAGATTTTTAAAAAGGACTTTAATTAAATACAGCAAACATTTATATCAATACTGTTGACAATAGATTAAATTAAATTTCGTTCGTCACTATAAAAATACAACAATATGAACAGGGTTCCGTCCAGAATAATTTCTCCAGGAGCAAAGCTCGGTTCTAGCGCCCCTCTTCCCCTTGTGTTCAATACAATGACATAATATATCAATATTGCAAGTCTTTTCGGCGTCCCTTGACTTTGGCGGGCAAAATAACCAAGGAAAAACAACAAAAACCGTTGAAAGAAGTCTTTGACTAACTTTGTTGAGACTAGAAAACACATAGGTATAGAAAAGAGCTATCGGAATAAGGAATTAAGTTA